TTTTTATTGTGGCATTTTACTGAAAGTAAAAGGAAGAACAGAATTTCCAAAAAAAAAAAATTGTTTTTAACAATCAAGAATATCCACTACTCAGATATGTTTTCTTACATTTACTCTTTTCCTGGTTTTATTAATATTAATAGTTTAGTTTTAAATGTTAAAATTGTGGGGAGAAATCCTATCTAATTAAAAGACTGAGGCTTACATTGAATTATGAAGACTTGAAATCACCCTAAATATCCTTTGAGGCTGGAATCCCAAAGGCCTAGTTCTTTAAGATTCTGTCAGATTCAATTCTGGCAGTCAGTATAATGAAATGAAGTAAAGATTAATTGCAAATTTTGGGGAGATGCCCCATACCCAGGTAACTTAAAAATTTTCCCATTATAAATATAGCAGTTTTTTTTTTTTAAAGCTGCTTGGTTTCTCCTAACTCAAGGCAACATGACAGGTACAGTTTTGAGAATGAGTGGCAAGAATAAACCTTCATGATATTTACAGTATCTCATTGATGGGTGAATTTAATTTTAAAAGATCTTGCTATTTATTTTTGTGTTATACTTTTCAAATTACTTTAGAAGCATTTAAGTATTTTAAATGTTTTAATGTGCAGCTGCACACTTGAGAACAATATGGTTTGCTTGCCAGCAGAGTCAGTTGGATTCAGACCCTGTTGCCATCTTGTATATGTGGACAAGTTACATAATCTTTTTGGTCTCCTGATCTATGAATTAGAGTACTCTAACTTCCTGAAGGTTGTTATGAGGATTAAATAATTTACATAAAGTGCTAGTGAATGATAGCTATTACTGTCACTATTTCTTGATTTATTTTCTCTTTTCTTGATTTATTTTCTCTATTCTTGATTTATACAATATTCTACAGTCTATAAATTATTTTCCTGTTATGTTACTTTTAGCCCTATAGGATTCATATAAATGAGTGCAAATAGAGATTATCCCCATTTTAATGTTAACACAGTGTATCTTTTTCCATCCTTGTGCTTTTAATTTTTTATGTCTTTAAATTGTTTCTTATAGGTAGTATATAGTTGGGTTTTGCTTTTTCATCCCATCTGACAATCTTTACCTTTTAGTTAGTTATATGTGTTTAGACCATTTATATGTAATGTAATTATTGAGGTGTTTTGGTTTAGATCTACCATGTTGCTATTTTCTATTTGTTTCATTTGTTCTTTATTCCTGTTATCCTCTTTTTCTGCCTTATTTTGGACTGATTATTTTTCCACAACTCTGTTTTATCTCCTTTGGTGGTTTATTAGGTATAACTATTGTGTGTGTTTAGCAATTGCTTTAGAGTTTGTAGTATACATTTTTATCACAGTATACAGTACCTTTAGGTGACACTACACCACATGAAGTATGAGAATATTTTTTTTTTTTTTTTTGAGACACAGAGTCTCGCTCCGTTGCCCAGGCTACAGTGTGGTGGCGTCAGCCTAGCTCACAGCAATCTCAAACTCCTGGGTTTAAGCAGTCCTCCTGCCTCAGCCTCCCAAGTAGCTGGGACTGCAGGCGTGCACCCCCCCGCCGTGGCTTTTTCTATTTTTAGTTTCCCGGCTAATTTTTTTTACCCACATAGTTACCATTTCCTGTGCTTTTCAATCCTTGTATAAATCCATATTTCCATCTGGTTTGGTTTTCCTTCTGCCTGAATTACTTCCATTAACATTTCTTTTTATTGTGGGTGTGATTGTGTTGAATTCTTTCAGCTTTTGTATGTCTAAGCATCCATAGCCTTTTTTTTTTTTTTTTTTTTTTTTTTGAGACAGAGTCTCACTCTTTTGCCCGGGCTAGAGTGAGTGCCGTGGTGTCAGCCTAGCTCACAGCAACCTCACACTCCTGGGCTCAAGCGATCCTCCTGCCTCAGCCTCCCGGTAGCTGGGACTACAGGCATGCGCCACCACGCCTGGCTAAGTTTTTCTATATATTTTTAGTTGTCTGATTAATTTCTTTCTAATTTTAGTAGAGATGGGGTCTCACTCTTGCTCAGGCTGGTTTCGAACTCCTGAGCTCAAACAATCCACCCAGAGAGCCTCGGTCTCCCAGAGTGCTAGGATTACAGGCGTGAGCCACCGCGCCAAGCCTTTGTTTTTTGAAAGGCATTTTTGCTGGGTATAGAAATGTAGATTGACAAAAGGTATTGCTTTCCTATCTTCTGGGTTGCATTGTTTCTAACAAAGAAGTCTGCTGTTATCTTTGTTCCTTTGTATATATCCTTTCCTCTGGTTGCATTTTTTTTCTTTACTACTCATTTCAAGCAATTTAATTATGATGTACCTTGTGTGGTTGTCTTCATGTTCTTTGTGCCTGGGTTCCTTGAAATTATTGGATATGTGAATTTATATTTTTTATCAAATTTCAAACATTTTTTCAGCCATATATTTTTTCTGTCCTCTTCCCTAGGGACTCCAGTTACACACCACTTGAAATTATTGCAGAGCTCACTGATGCTCTGTTCATTTTTTTCAATCTTTTTCTCTCTGTTTCATTTTGTTTTTATGGGCGGATTTTTATGTTCAATAATCTTTTCCTCTGAAGTGTCTAATCTGCCTTTAATCCCATCTATTGCGTTTTCATTTCAAACATCGTTATTTTAATCTCTAGAAGTTTGTTTTTTGTTTTTAAAAAGCATATTTCATGTCTCTTTTTAACATATTCATTCTTTAGTTCCTTGAACATATGAAATACAGTTACAACTTTTCCTTTTTTTTTTTTTTTATTACACTCTCAAAGATGGTAGAGAGCAGCCGGCCCCAACAAGAAATAGTCAACAGTTATAACTTTTGATATCCGTATTTACTAATTGTACTATCTCTCTAATTTCTGGGTTGGTTTTGATTGATTGCCTTTTTTTCTATTATGGGTCATATTTCTTGCTGCTTTAAATGCCAGGTAACTTTACCTTTTGTTTTACCTCATTGGGTGCTGGATGTTTCTGCATTCCTATATGCTTGAGTCTTGTTATGGGACATGGGTAAGTGTCTGGATCAGTGTGATCTTTTCAGGTTTTGGTTTTAAGCATTATTAGGCAGGACCAGGGCAACATTTAGTCTAGGGCTATTTTTTTCCCCATTAATGAAGCAAAAACCTTTTGAGTACTCTACCCAATGCCCTCTGAATTATCAGGTTTTTCACACTAGCTGGTGTGAAGAGCGATCCCTGGCTTTCTGTGACCTCGGGGTTTGTTTCTGCTAATGATTAGCGTCTAACCCTTTTGAGTTATTCCTCCTGGCCCCAGGTAGTTTCCTCACACACACATGCTGATCAGTATGCAGGTGAAGACCTCAAGGGACCACTCTAGTTCTCTGCAGCTCGCCCCTCTCCGGTCCTCTCCTCTGCAAATTCCGACGGCCCCTGCCTCCCTGGGTGCACAGTTCTCCCTTCACCTTAGGCTGGTTCGGCTCGTGTCTGCGCACCATGGCCTGGAGAATCTCTCCGGAAAGTAGTAAACCAGGGCGATCCTTGGGTCCACTTTGTTTCCTGTCTCCAAAGATCAGAGGCCTTTGTTGCCTGATGTCCAGTGTCTTGCAAACTGCTGTTTCATAAAGTTTGCCTGATTTTCTAGTTGCTTCAGACAGGAGGGTAAATCTGGTCCCTGTCAGTATCTCCATTTTAGAAACTAGAAAGTGAGGGTCTGTAGGTTAGTAGCTTGCTTCAGTTTGTCCTGTGAACTGTTAGTGGAGCCAGAACGAGGATCTAGGCACTGAGTCAAGGCCTGGGGCTTTTCTACATCAGCAGTCTTCTCATGTAATTGAAGTTTATCCCTTTAAATCTTACAGCTTAATTGAAACCATTTTTTGCTGGAAACTTTTATAAAATGAATTACATACCCCTGCCTTCTTAAACAGCATTTTGAACATATTTGAACCTTTTCATTATTAACTTACTTATGATCTTCTACAGTGGCTATCAACCCTATCTGACCCAAAAAAACCCCTATTCTGTAAGATGTTTCGTAATGCCCCTTTTACCTCTAGGAGTCTGCTCCAGTTGCAGTGGGGCAAAGGAGTGTCATGAGGTGCCCGGCCTGTTCTTTCCTGCTCCCGCTGGATAAAGCAGCCCGACCTCTTCCTGCTGATCGGCAACCACCCCTGCCAAAATGGTGCCTACTTCACTTCAGTTCCCTGTACACAGAATTCAAAGCGCCCTGGGTAACAGCCATAGCTTGTAATTTAATGGGACCCTTGCTGTATCCCCTGGCAAGAATGCAATCTCTTTGAGAACTAGAACCTCCAACCGTGAGAGCCCAGAGTTGTGGGGACAGCAAGAACAAAATCCCCCAGCGGGTCATGGGGAGTGACAGCCAGTGGGCACTCTTGCTTCTACCCCTTGGTTCCTGGACCCATGTACTCTTACTGGGAACGCAGCATCAAAGAGAGGTCTCTTTAATGCACACACCACATCCTGAAAGATGGCACTGCAGCCTTGCAGAGTACTAAGTGCTTCGTCTGTGCCTTCGGAAGGCAGCTCCAGTATTCTGCAAGGCTGGCTGCTGCTGGCCAGTGCAGGATGTGACACACCAGCAGATCCCATGATCACGGGCTCACCCCCACACCTCTGCTGTAGAGTGGGTCCCTTGGTCGGATGCTGTGTTGTATGAGATTCCATACCCATGGATTGGGCATTCTGTAAGGACAGCAATACCAGCCGAGGCTCTGTGCACAGGAAAGACAAAGCCCATACCTGCAAATAGCCATCCATGTGGGGGACAAACTGCTGGGTCATCCAGGAAGGACGGAATCCAAAGTCGTGGCCACCAGGTGGCAAACCGGCCTCCCTGAGGAGTGCCATGTCAGGGGTTAAAGTTAGTCTATTGCTGACAGGGTAGCCATTCTGAGGCAGCAGTTGCTCGACTGACCTGGGAAGGCGCTTCCTACTTGTTAGGTGATGCTACATACATGATAGTTTAGGTGGATATTCTCTTTTTCTCCTTCAAGACCTGCCCTCCACCCTTCTGACTCTGCTCTTGCCCTTTAGGAGGTTGGCCCCTTGGCCCTGTAGGTTAGGTCACCAGGAGCCTGAGCATGAGACAGGTTGAGCACTTATTTCCCCAGCTCCCTCCCTTCCAAGCCATGGTTTTGCAGAGGTGGTCCCCTAACCAAAGGCCACAGCTCCTGTGGAACAAACCCCTTCTATAGTTCCAAGCTCTGCCTGGGCTCCCAGCTAGGGACGGCAGGGGCTTCCCACTGTGAGTACCCTCCTTCCGCCCCCCTGCCGGCTCCTCTCAATCTCAACTTTGTGAAGGGGCTGTCTTGAGTCCCCTTTCTAATGATGACGTCTTGTCTTTCTAGGACCTCAACTGACACAAGAGTATTTCCTTCCTTGTCATTTAAAATGAGTTGTAGACAGCAAATATTTCCATCTTAATTCATCCAACAAGTATTTACTGAGCACTATGTGCTAGATAATGTTCTGTTCTTTGGGGAAACAGCAGTGAGCAGGACAAGGGGATTTCTTTACGAGGAAACTTCAAACAGCGATGATTGCCCTGGCTGCCCGATTCATCCTCCTGCAGGGGAGGGACTGAGGGTGCAGCCACCTTTGACTGGGCAGTCTGGGAAGGTTGTTCTGGAGGCAGTGAGGTCAAGGACCTGGAGACCTTGACCTGAAGGAAAGGCAGAGCTTGCCATTCAAAGAGCAGGATGTTGCAGATGGTGAGGTAGCAGGCAAGGGCAGAGCCCTGAGGAGACAATGCACTTGGCTGGTCCAATATACAGAAGCTTCTGGAACATAGCGAACAATATGTACAGTAACGTTAGCACAGGTAGGTGGTGGGCAATTTACCTGTGTTCCTAGTAAGAAGGAAGTGCTACCTTGTAATGGGGGATTGGCCTCTTTTCAGAGTAGACTGTCAAGTTTGCTTAGCAAGTACTTTTCAGACCATTTATTGGGCATATACTAGATTTTAGCACAGAGTCAAGACTATCTCTGTAACCACATAACCATAACCCCAATCAACCTCAGGGATAATGCTCCCCTCTGAATTAAGGGAATACGAAGGATCGTGTTAGCTGGAGGTCCTCGATAGTTTTGAGAGACAAGTATCCACGAAATCAGACAACCAAAAGATACCTAGAGAGTGAGAGGGAAGACAGGTATAACAGGTCTTTTTCTAAAAAATGGTTGTGGACCTGCCCAAATTACAAATATCTAAGTTTGTGGTGTGTTGTTTTTATTCAGGTATTACAGGTGTTCGTGCAAGAGGTACCTGGGAGCCATTTTAGGCTATAACTATACCTGGTAGGCGTCTGTGAAGACGGCGGACCGTGGCTTCCAGCCTTTCTCCCCTTTCCCGCCAGGACTTGGCAGGGCCACTCCAGTGCACGAGCTCCATTCTCTTCTCGGCCCGGGCTGTGCACCAGAACTTTCCTGCCTTGACCTCGTGATGTAGATTTACAGCGAAATCGCAATATAGGTTAAATGCGGTGCATACTACAAATTTATTTTCGGTCAAGTTGTGTTTCTACTGCAGAATTAAGCCATCAGTCCAACAAATTTGGAGTACCTTTTCCGCACCTTTCCCATTTGTTTTATTCTCAGTTTTCTCAAATAAAAGCCCTCTCTAGGTCAGGAACAAAGTCTTACCATTTCTGTTTCCAGCACCCACATCGGGCACATAGTAAGTGGAGAGAAAATTAAGATTCTAAGAGGCATATTTCTGCTTGGCGCAGACCCTGACTGCGTCTTTAAATGTGAGTGCGCAGAGGTCGCTTTCGGCCACGAAGCGGCGCTAGGCCACCATCTAGGACAGACCCTCGGAGTTTTTCCACAGGGTTCAAAGTTTTGAACTTTTTAACTGTCAGAAAGGTTCCTAAGTTTGGGGGAATGCTCCTAAGGCACGGATGGTGGGTGCTGCGGCCAGGGCCGGGCTGCAGAAGGCGCGCTGCGTCGCGGGGTGCACTTGCGACCTCTCGGGATCGCGGCAGGGACTCGGGCTGGGGGGTCGCAGAGGCGCGCGCGGCGGTGCGCCCGGCGCCCGGCAGGTGAGGCAGAGGCGCTCTCCGCGCGGGGTCGGCCGGGCGCAAACCGGTGGCTCCGAGGAGCCCGCTCCCTTCCCGCCCCCGCCCCTTGCCGCGCCGGGCCGGCCGGGCCGCTCCTCCCCTGGGTGGGTCCCGGCTCCTTTTCTGGCAGAGCCTATTTGCATAGAGGAAACTGCCCGAAGTGGCCGCTGTGGAGGAGCTGGCGGAGGAGAAGGGGGCGTGCGCCGCGATCCGCCGCTATCTGGAGGCCAAGCCCAGCGCCCGGCCGACCTCGTGCCTCCGCTCTCCCGCCTGCTCCCCGCGCGCTCAGCCTCAGGTCCAGCTCCGCACCAGCCCTCGGGAGCCCGCGCGCGGCGAGCGCGCCATGAGCCCGGGCGAGCGCGCCGGGGACGACGGCGGCGGCGACGCGCAGAAGGGCGGCCCGGCGGGGGGCGGCGGCGGGGGGCGCCCCGCGGCGCCGGCCGGGGCCCGGGCGTCGAGCGCGCTGTGCCTGCTGCTCTCCGCGGGCTCGGCGGCCGCCTGCCTGCTGCTGGGCGCCCAGGCGGCCGCGCTGCAAGGCCGGGTGGCGGCGCTGGAGGAGGAGCGGGAGCTCTGGCGGCGCGCGGGGTCGCCGGGCGCCCTGGCAGCCGGGGCCGAGCCGCACCTGGAGCGCCTGCTGCGCGAGGTGAGGCCCGGGCGCGGCGCGGGGGCGCGCGGCTGGAGCCGGGGGCGCCGGCCGGGGAAGCGTCCGTGCGCCGGGAGCCGGGGCAGCGTGTCCGTCTCCGCAGGAGGGTCGCCGGCTGAGTGCGCTAAGGCCGTCGGAAGCGGGGAGTGCTAGCAGGGGTGCTGCTGTCCCGGCGCCCGCCCCAGGTCCCCTGCCGGGGCACGCGGCCGTGGGAAGAGCGAGCCAGAGGCGCGCTTGAGGGGACGAGCGGTGGCAGGGACTGGAGAGACCGCGGACTGCGGAGCTGGACTGGAGACTCCGGGTGTGCGGTGAGCGCCCTGGGCACCGGCGACGCTCGTGCGGGAAGCGAGCGTCCGGCGACTCCTGTCGCCGCTGGCAGCTAACGTTCCCGCCGCCGGTCTCCGTGGAGAGGCCGCGGGAGGGCCGGCCCGGGGCGGGGCCCTGGCGTGCTCTGCTTTGTTTCAGGCGCTTTGGCTGCCGAGGTGAGCGCTCGCCCAGTGCGCCCGGGGCCGGAGGGCGGCCACATCAGCCCGGTAGGATGAAAGGAAGGAAAAACTGTCGTGGCCAGAGACCTGGATGGTGGTTTCAGGCGGTGCCATCTATGCAATGAGTACGGAGCGCATCCTGAGTTTCCTTGTTCTATACGTGGGAATGGTGATGCCCACAGCTTACCTGAAGGCGTCATATGAGGCTCTGTGACACTTCCAAAGGTTAAGATTGCTGCTGTGTGTCTTCAAAGTAGGAGCCACATTTTGGACTCCAAAGCCCTTACCCAACATGTTG